AAGTGTCCCCGCCCTCTGGTGCCCGGCGGGCGAACGGCCACGCCCCCTGGCGCCCGGCAACCTCCAGTGGTCGGGGACCACTGCTCTAATACCTTGGGACCAACATGGCTACAAAACCACTGCAGATAAGGCACAGGCACAGCCATGCACACACACAGAGAGAGAGTTATACCCTTCCTTGTAAGGACACCGCCCAGACGGATAGCCGGCCAACAGGCTCGTCTGTGATTTCCCATCCTCCAATGGAGATATCATTGAAAGGATCTGGCAACTGTTTGGGATCATCATGGGATGTTATCTGAAGTAAAGAGAATGAGAAAAATATTGAGAGCAGAAGAAGGGGGAGACCTGACCCCATAAACACCTGCTTGCTATTGGATGCGGTATCATAAGTCAGGGGCTTAGCTCATTTTCTAGCACAGTGTTTCTCAAGCTTTTTTTTTTATAAGGTACCCCTTTTTTTAAAAAAAATTATAAGTATCCCCACAACCTACAATTTTCAGACACAGAAATGCTTTTCTACCATTGCAACACATTTGTTTAAACAACTTAACTGTACCCAGGCAGGTGATGAAACTTTTGGGTGTAAAAAGTACAAACATAATAAAGTGCTGTAAAACTTAAAACAAAAATTCAGTTTTCTCAAATTTTAGTTGTGTTGACATACCCCCCAGACTTTTCTCAAGTACCCCTAAGGGTACTTGTACCACTGGTTGAGAAACACTGGTCTAGCAGACAAATCAGTGTATCATAAAGCCACCATCCTGATACCAAATGGTTAGGCATGGAAGATGGACTCCTTCTCTCATGAATGGCTGCTCCTTCAGACAGGTGGGGCCACATCTGTAGAGTAGCACAGAAGAAGCCTGCACACTCACTTCTTCCGCTATACCTGTACTATTGCTTTACATTAAGACTTTTGCTCCCGGACTTATCAATCCAGCATCTTGCACAATCATTACAGTCACTAAAATAAATCATCTGTGTTTTTGCATGTGCTCTCATTAGTGCATGTAAACAGCTATGACATGTGCTAGTCGGGCAGCCAGCTAGTGAACTGACACCAAACGGCGGCCGCATGTTGGGAAAAATTCCACTGAAAAATTTCCATCCCATAGCATTAGCTGCCAGTGGACAAGTGACCAGAATTCCTCTCCCTACGCACGCCTGTGTGTGAGTACACAAGACTGGGGTATCACTTATGTTGATTTGCAGACAAAGATCTAAGGGTTATGCTGACGTTCTTCATGTCAGAAAAGAAAAAAAAATCAAAGCTATAGTGGAATATTCAAAGGCACCTAAACTAAATCCCACTGAATTTCAATGGGGTTTGGGCACCTCATTTTCTTCTACTTCTTTGAAAAATTCCAGTCTTGAGTTTGTAACACTGGAGAGATACTAGATCAGCAGCTTCAGAGTCCAAGGTCCTGTCTTTGCAGACTACACACAGCCCTATGACGGCAGTGCAAATTCCCCACTCTCATGTCATCCCATCTTTCATATACCACTGGAGCTAATAAATAAAAAATAAATAAACACAGAAAGAGACCTTTGCCCAAGTGTCGCGTGACTTGTATCTCCTGTATCTGATCCACCTCCTACGTCGGACACAGGAATTCCATTTCTTATCTTTCGCGTAGGTAGCCGGGAAGTCAATGGCGTACGTCCAACCCTAAAAACAAAGGGTTCCTTTCATAAAGATTGGGAGCAGATGGTACATTAAATAGTAGTTCAGAACAATTCTGCACAAAGATCACTCCTACAAACATAACACAAATTACTTTGAACAAGCATAGAGGCTTTTATCCTCTAACTCCATAGACATTCATGAACAATGTTTCAACTCCTCTGTGCAATACATACAGGATAAATAAGATATAGAAAAGCATTTTATTTTTGTTATAATAAAGATGTTACAGTAAATAACAGCATCCAAATGCTAGCATTTCAGGGCCTGAGCTGAAGCCTGTTGAAATTAACAAACTCCCATTGGTTTCACAGCCTTGGGAGAAGAATATACTATAGCGATCTGCATTCCCAGCAAGAAGCAGTCCTGGGAAGATGGGAAGTGCCTTTACTTTTACAGAGTGGATTCCCAGAATGGATCCCTTGCCGGTATTGTTCACCTACCCCTTTCTCTGTTGGTTCCCCTCCAATATTTTCATCCACATACCAGTCAGACTCCCACTCCCAGTGTGGTGATGGCAGCGTGAAACTGTCAAGCTGCTGATGTTTTAGCCCGCTCACGTCGCTCCATTGCCAGCGATCACTGGGCATTAATTTCTCACAAAAGCCACCAACTGGATTCCAGCGCTGCCAGAAAGGAGAAAAATTGCACAGCTAACCTTGTCAGCTCACAGATGGGGCCTCGGGCTTTTGCAGTGAGGTATGTGTGTTAGGGATGTGAATGGGTAATTGGTTAACTGGGAAGCATCACCTTTAATGGTTGATGCTTACCAGATAGTGGTTAACTGTTACCCGGGAGCAGACCCCTAGTCACAGCCTGCCATAGGCAGAGGGCAGCTCCAGTCCTGGGGGACTGCTGGCTCTCAGTCTACACAGGCCAGAGGCAGCAGCAGGGGGAGAGAGTGGGGGAAGGTGTCCTGCTGCTTCCAGGCATGCATGAGGCTGCTGACTCTCAGACTGCATGGGCTAGAAGCCAGCAGCCCAGCACGGAGCCGGAACCAGACGGGCTGCAGAGGTTTCCCTGCCCGCCCACTGTTTATCAGTTAACTGGTTCAACAGACTGACATGGCTACAGCTTCAGCGCATAATGCAAAGGGGGAAATGACTGCAGGCCAATGCACCATGTTCTCTTCATATTACAAGCAGGTGGTGGGTGTCATTCTAATTGATGCCGTTCAATTGCTCACTCTATTACCAAAGATCATGGAATAATAAATACGACACACCATCAAGTTTTCCCATTCACATACTAGAAAGCATTATTGATCAGGGACTGTTTGCAACATTTCATTTCTAGTGTGCTGGTCCATGTTCAGCCTGCTGTGGTAGTCAATGAGGGTATGTCTACACTACCCCGCTAGTTCGAACTAGCGGGGGTAATGTAGACATCCGCAGTTGCAAATGAAGCCCGGGATTTGAATTTCCCGGGCTTCATTTGCATGAAGCCGGCCGGCGCCATTTTTCAATGCCGGCTAGTTCGAACCCGTGGAACGAGGTGTACAGCTAGTTAGGATTAGAAGCCTAATCCGAACTAGCTAGTCCGTGCCGCCTGTAGCCGCGCGGCACGGGGTCCGAACTAGCTGGCATTTAAAAATGGCGATTACAGCTAGTTCGGATTAGGAAGCCTAATCCGAACTAGCTACTCCGTGCTGCGTGTAGCCGCGCGGCACAGGGTTCGAACTAGCCGGCATTTAAAAATGGCGCCGGCCAGCTTCATGCAAATGAAGCCCGGGAAATTCAAATCCCGGGCTTCATTTGCAACTGTGGATGACTACATTACCCCCGCTAGTTCGAACTAGCGGGGTAGTGTAGACATACCCTGAGAGCCACTACACCGGTCCATGGATTTGGGTGTCTTAGTACAATTCCTAATAGAGCAGTGCCTCAAGTATGTCTACACTGCAATTAAAAACACGTGGCTGGACATCTGACTCAGGTTTGGGGGTTTCAGGCTAAGGGGTTAGTTGGCCATGGCGTAGAGGTTTGGGCTTGAGCTCTTGGACCCTCCCAGATGGAAATTCAACTTGTGGTCCACAAGCTAGGGATGTGAATGGTTACCTGCTTAACCGATAAGCAGAACCCTTATTGGGCAATGCTTACCAGTTACGCCAAACCAGCAGCCTGGTTTGGCTGGAGCAATGCCCACGTGTATCAGAGGCAGCAGTATGAGGGGGGCGGGGGAGAAGAGAAGACAGGGGGATGCCAGAGCTTGGTGTCCCCCATGGACAGGGGTTGCTGCCACTCCACGTTACTGCCTCTGATACTGCCACTTGCTGCCAGCCCTGCCCACGGGGAGCATTTTAGTAATTGTGTTTAGTAATTGTGTAATTGCTAAAAATTGTTGCTGCTACACAATTACTAAAATAACCGATATCTAACATCTCTACCACACACAACCCAGTGCTTTAAAAAAAAATAACCTATGCACACTAAGGATGTTAAGAACTAGTTGACTAGTCAACTATCCAATACGCAAATGCTTATTGGAAGAGTCAGTCAACTAGTCAATTCCCCCCCCCCCTCCACTGCCTCTATCACAGTGGTCACCAACCACTAAATCGGAATCTAATAGTAGATCTTGGAGCCTGACAGATGATCCTGACTGGTTTGGCCAGGAAGCTATCAAGCGCTGACACTTCAGTTGCCTCTCCACATACTGTCATGTTGCTCCTGCCCTTTGCCTTGGAGCTGCCTCTTGGAAGCCTCCTGCTTACTGTGCTGGGTATGGGAGGGAGAAGAAGGAGGCACTGATGTCTGGGTTGTCCCTCCTCCCCCCAGTCCTGTACCCCATCTCCACACAGAGAGAAGGGGATGGAGGGAGCGTGGCAATGCAAATCTCTGTCACTGTCACGGAGTGTGTGTGCCTCTGTCATTCTCAAACACACACTGTCCTTCACTCTCATCTTCCAATCCAACACATACATGAGGGGTTGTTACTACGTTCACTGCTTGCAAAGTGGGTTATTTTTAGTTTTTGACTGGCCTGTGCATTTCATAACTTTCATTTCTCTCTTAAGCTTAAATTTAATTCTTTGAGTAATAAGTTCTCAAATTCTAACCTGTCATGGCTGAAGTCATTATTTCTTCGGTAACTGGGGCTTCCTGGATTAGCTGGAATGTCCCTGCAGCCCCAAGAAAGGCAGAGCAGGGGGTCTCCACAGGCTGTCCTTACCTGCAAACACCACTCATGCAGCTTCAGAAAACTGTGGCCAGTAAAAGCTGTGGGGTTGGGGCACAGGGAGCCAATGTTGGACATGCCAGCTGCTTTCAGAAGTGGTGCAGGGCCACGACCAGACTCAAGCCCCCAACCCTGTGCTCCCCAGGCAAATGCGGTAGCCCCTCATCCACACCAGAACCCATCCCACCTTCAGAGGGTCCCTTGTCGGCTGTCTGGTCACTCCCAGCACAGATGGAAGGGTGATGGGAGGACTTGAGCTGCCTAGGGGGATATGGGACTCAATCGCATCACCCTCTGCTCCCCAGGTGAATGCCCTATCCCACTCCAGAACTCACCCCACCTCCCTACCTTCACAGGGTCCCTTATGCTGTCCTCCTAACATGGGAGTCAGCTCCATCCCTGAGACAGCCTGTGTTGGCTGCCCAGCTGCTGCCTGGGTGTGTGGAGGGGCATGGGAATGAGCCCACCCACCCTGTGCCCCAGAGGCTGATGCCCTGTCCCTGAGTTCACTGGAGATCCCACTCCACCTCCCTACTTTCAGTGGGTCTATTATCCTGCCTTCCTAATACAGAAGCCAGCTCCATTCCTTGTGTAGCCTGTGTTGCCTGTCCAGCTGCTCCCAGGCTGGGCAGGGACTTGAACCCACCACCCTGGGCTTCTCAGACAAGTGCTCTAACTCTTGGTCCACTCCAGAACCCACCACACCTCCTGAGGATCCCTTATTCTTCTTTCCTAATGTAGAAGCCAGCTCCATCCCTAGGACAGCCTGTGTTGGCTGTCTGGCCACCCCCAGGGTGTGTGTTTGGAGGGGGGGGAAGATTCAAGCTCCTAACCCTGCACTTCCCAGGCAACTGCTGTATCCCCATGGTCACTCCAGAGCCCAGCCCGCCTCCCGCGGGTGCTTTATTAGTCTGTTGGCTGCCCGGCTCCTACTGCCTTTTAAACTGCAGAGCCACAGCGGGGTTTGGTCCCGACGTGAGCCAGGACTGAGCGGGGCTGCCTTCTCCTATTGAGTAATTGAGTAGCTGATAAAAATTCTATCAACTACTTGATTACTCAAATAACCTAAATGTCACATCCCTACTTACTACCGGGGACAACAGAGTGGTCTGGACAACTCACAATGCCAACCCCATCTGCCAACCCCATGGTACGTTTGCCCGATGTGCTCATGACTTTACATACCTGATTCTCATAGGTTTCTTCCTGGTATCTGATTGGAACATCACTTGAGAACACAAAGGCATATACCTGGTGATCACAAGCTATTCCCCAGCAGCACTGTTTCACAGCAGAGACTCGTTTGAACTCCAGTTGTCTGTCTTTACAGAGCTCCCAGTACTGGCCAGCTATCAACTGCCCACAAGAGAGAATTGGGCACAGCCATAGCTGAAAGGCAAAGAGAGAAGTATTAATGCAGAGGCTAGTTTTGAAGAGATGGGTTCTAACTAGAGGGCTACGTCTAGACTGGCATGATTTTCCGCAAATGCTTTTAATGGACAAGTTAAAAAAAGCCATTTTCGCGATTGGGGCTTTTTTGCGCAAAACAAATCTGAGCTGTCTACACTGGCCCTTTTGCCTGAATGGGAGCAGCATAGTATTTCCGCAAGAAGCACTGACTTCAGACAGTAGGAAGTCAGTGTTCTTGCGGAAATTCAAGCGGCCAGTGTAGACAGCTGGTAAGTTTTTCCGCAAATGCAACTGCTTTTGCGGAAAAACTTGCCAGTCGAGACGCAGCCAAGATGTAAAAGGTTAACTGGTTGCCTGGTACACGTTAGGCTTATTGGAATGCTTGCAGGTAACCGATGGACAGTCAACGGCAGCACAACTGGCTGAGTTGGGGTGGCAGGCAGGGACACGCCTGCATCTGGCCAGCGGGACTCCGGCTTCATGAGGGCGGCAGGCGAGGCCCCAGCTGCTCCAACTCAGCCCAGCAGAACCTAGCCCATGATACGCAGGAGTGGGCCGGTGGGATTCTGGCCAATGGTTAACCAGTTAAACGTTATAATTATAGCTGTTTAACTGGTTAACTATTTAACTGGTTATTTACATCCCTAGTTCGATCCCCACTCCCAGTCAAACAGACCCAAAAACTGAACTGAACACTTTGGGCCTTTCTCCAATGATACTAAACTTGAGAATAAAGGATGGTGTTTGCAAAGTAGCCTAGAGGCTCCATCCAAATATCAACAGCTTTCAATGAAAACTAAGTCAATGAGAACCTAACTACCTTAGCCTCTTTTGGAAACCAACTGGACTCTACATTGCAAAACCCTCCACAGCAATTAGCAACACCAGTATCAGGTGAGGAAGAAAAGCCAAAAGATCAAATGGACACATGCAGTGTTCCCTCTAAGCTGAGGTTGGGGGGGGGAGGAAGCACAGCTTCACAGGTGATTAATCAGCCCCGCCCAGTCAGAAGCTCAGGGCTCCATGCATGGAGCTGACTGACTGGGTGGGGCTAATTAATCACCTGTCAAGCTGTGCTTCCTTGCCCCTCTCCCCTCCCCCGCCCAACCTCAGCTTAAAGGGAACACCGGGCACATGAATTGCTCTCTCCCCAGAAGACTAGGCCTAGGCACAAGGACTAAGCAGAAGGTGGAGTTTGTGTTGCCTCTGCTCCCTAGAGGCTCAGAAGATTTCACTCTCCTGAACTGTAAGTCACAGGAACTCCTCATCAATCTCCTCCTGGAACTGGCCATCAATCCAGAAAGAGGGAGCTCCGTGGAGAGAGTCTCTGTAACTATGCTGCTTCCTTTCAGTTCCTACTTGTCTCTGGGCAGAGTTCCTCTGGCGCCCCATGGTGCAGTAGGGGCTGTCCAGGGTTCTCTGTTGGGTGTTCCAGAGTTCCCTCATACAATCGTAGGCCTGGAAGGGACCTCCAGAGTCCAGTCCCCTGCATTCTGAACCTCTGACCCCTCCTCCCACTCCTATTCCTGGCTGATCATTTGTCATTCCGCAGATTCTTGTATTCGGGGCTCTGTGGCACCTCTCAACTGACGAGGCAGGTCTTTTGTCCTTGTAATGGAATACTGGTCCTTTAAGGCTAAAGAATGTTGTTACCCTGTTCCAAGAGTACAGGGAAGAAAGATTAAGCCATTACTGGGAGAGAAGATGATCATCCCCAGGCGCAGTTAGTGCTGGAAGAGGGAAGCTATCCCAAAACATTGTTCTTTTGCAGGCCTGTGACCCGGAGCCTTGTAGAGTGAGTTGGAGCAAGGCTTCGGTGTCTCCCAGCCAACACAGACAGGTGTTCAGGATTATTACACTCACCTGGAAGGAGCTAGCAACTAATCAGCTGACCAGGTGGGAAACCCAAAAGAGGATCCAAACTCAGACTGGTGGAAGAACACAGGTGTGGGCTGTAAATGCCTGAACCTAAGCAGAACCCCAGAAGAAAATAATATTGTTTCAAAGGCTAGACCTGTGATTGGATTATTCTGGAAATTTGGAGGGAAACTGAGACAGGATGCCCACTAGATGTCCATGGGCAGGTTGTCCTGGGATGACACCTGTCTGCAGTCCTACAAGGTCTTGGGCCCATCCTCCTGGATGTCAAATAGGCCAGCACTAAATTTATTTAAAGAAAAACAAAGTCTTATTTCTGTAGGCAGGTGCATTTCCCACCCTTGGAGAAACAATGGAGAAAACTCAGAGCCACTCGTTCTATAAGAAAGGTGGGATTCACCAGGGAGACTTCCAACATATATTTTTTTTAATTGTGCAAGGTGATATGCAGCCAGCAAGGCAGGAGGCAAAGGGGAAAAGAAAGCAAAGCCCAAAACACGAAGAGGAAAAGAGGAAGTTTTGCTTGGAAGCAACTGACACCACTGTTTCTTTGGGTGTGAAAGTTCGCTCTCACAATTAGAGCCTGAGCAACCTAGCCTGCTTGTCTTCTGACCAGTAACAAATAATGAAGACACACTGAAGTCGGGCCTATACTAGGGGAAGAAAATCAACTTAAGACATGCAACTCCAGCTTCAATAATAGTGTAGCTGGAGTCGACGTACCTTAAGTCGAATTTCTGCAGTGTCCCCATTGTGGGAGGCTGAAGGAAGAAACTCTCCTGTCGACTTCCCTTACTCCTTGTGACCCTTTGGAGTACCAGGATAAACAGGGGGCACCAATAGCAGCTGATTTAGCAGGTCCTTACTACACCAGCTAAATTAACCCTGGAAGATCGATCTCTAGGTAGCTATAGAGGAGGTCTGACTAGTACCACTCAACTGTTTTTAACGGGCATAACATTTCACAGAGTAAAGATAAGCACATGTCAGCCAAGGGGGAAGTGATTAAAAAAGGCAAAAATATCTTGTTAGTTACAGCAGCGTAACTCCAACTAAATCCAAGAGATTGGGCTGCTGTTAGCAAGATCCTCTAGGCTTTCAATTATGACTAATTTTTGTAAGAGTAGCTGCATTGATTCCTGACACACGTGGCCCCAGGAGCTATCCCCCTTATCAACTAATCAATGGAATTTCCATCGACTACTTGATTAGTTTACTAACTGCTATTTAACATCCCTACAAAGCAGAGCAACAAACATAAAAGTTTTAGAAAACCTGACTTAGGAGGAAGGGTTTAAAAAAAAAAAAGAAAAACACCCCTGAATATATTTAGTCTTGACAGAAAATGACTGAGGAGGACCCAATGGCTACATGTAGACTGGCATGATTTTGCAGAAATACTTTTAACGGAAGAGTTTTTTCTGTTAAAAGTATTTCCGCAAAAGAGCATCTAGACTGGCAAGGATGCTTTTGTGCAAAAAGTGCTTTTGCGCAAAAGCATCCATGGCCAGTCTAGACGCGATTTTGCGCAAGAAAACCCTGATCGCCATTTTAGCCATCGGGGCTTGTTTGCGCAAAACAATTCTTCCCTGTCTACACTGGCCCCAAGAGGGCTTATCCCTGAGTGGGAGCGTCAAAGTATTTGCGCAAGAAGCACTGATTTTATACATTAGAACATCAGTGTTCTTGCGCAAGTGCTCGCGGCCAGTTTAGACACAGCCTAGCTTTTGCGTAAATTTTGCCAATGTAGACACAGCCTAGCTGTGTAATGTCTTCAAATATGTTAGGGGCAGTTCTAAAAAGCCTGGTGATCAGTTGTCCTCCACATCCAGTGAAGAAGGTAGGACAAGAAGTAACTGGCTTAAATTGTAGCAATGGCGACTGAGGTTAGATGTTACACAAAAAGCTTTCTAACCATAAGTATAGCGAAGTTTTGGAACAGGCTTCAAAGGGAGGTTGGGGAATCCCCATTATCAGAGGTTTCTGAGAACAGGTTAGATAAGCACCTGTCGGGGTGATCTGGCTATATTTAGTCTTGGTGCACTACATTTCTATGACTGATCTCTTCCCCCCCCAGGTCCTGCAAATTGGGAGCCCTATGACTCCCTATGGATAACTAAGTTTTAAAAAATAAAGCCAGGCAGATAACTTAAGTAGAATGCTTGGGAGTCCTAAGACAGGGAGGACAAACAAATATCAATCCAGCTATCAGGGTGGATAAAAAGAGCTGCTAGTTGCCACTGAGTATCATTTTCTTATTTATATTCATGCCTCTTATTTTGGAACATCATGGTCGCAGACCATAATGGTGATGCCATAAGTCTGTTCCCTATTTCACTTCAGCATCACTCAGCTTTCCCAAAAGAACACCTTCCTATACTTGTTTTCAATGGGGCTTACTCCAAAATTAAGTGCACTCTAAGCAAAGTCAGTCTTAACTTTTTTTGGTAATTTGGAATCAGATCTGCATCAAAATGACAGTGGGAGTGAAAGATTGAGAGCTAGCTGTAGCAGTTTAAAGGACACCATACATTTAGTTTTCAAGGGACTTGTCTGTTAATTTTTTTTATATATTTTAAAATATTAACTAAGGACAGCCATCAACCAGCAATTCAGGAGCAAATATGAAACATTTATGTAAGATTTAAGATTTACTCTAATAAAGTGATATTTTGTCTGTGTATAATTTGGTTCTTACCATTCCTAATGTACTGCTGCATCTGCAGCTTGACACAGGTAATGAGTATTTCCTAAATTAATAAAAATCAAGTTATCCTAAAAAAACCACACAAAATATACCCTTTTAGATTATGTAAAATGCTGTCTTGAGCTGTAAATTAATGTTTTAGTGATCAGAGCTGCACTATTTTTGAAGAAATATGTGACACAGAATCAGTGGGAATCTTGATTTTAAATCAGTGTGGTTTTTTGGCGACTTAAATCACTGATTTAAATTGCCTTGATTTAAATTAATCCACCCTGCCAGATATCTCTGTGCAATGCTGCTTAAAAAGAAAGAACAGAGACTGAAAAGGTTCAGAAATAGGCAATGAGAGAGCTTAGCATTA